AGAATCTGTCTGCTTGCATAATTGAGGACATTTTTACACCATTAGCTGCTAAAGTGGTTGAAACACCTAATTCCAATGATTAGGAGAGGTAGCCCTATACTTTGAACAATGGTAGTTGAGTTTCCATTGATCAGATAAATGCACAGATTGAAATTACAAAAAGAAATTTGCTCAATGGTAACATGCCAATTTTCAGAAAACTCTTGTTCTTTAATAAAAAAAATGTTCTCGCTAGAATAAGGTTTTTATTCTCTTTGGCCGTCTCAAAATTGTTGTATTTTGCAAAACAACAAAGGAAACACTTCGCATCACGAGTCACATGATTAACAACCCGATGTTGCCTCTGACACAAAGACGAAGAAGACGACAGGAAGTAGTTAGACGACGATGCCGCGGTGTGCTTTTTAATCGCGTGAACAAACTTATTCACGTGTGATTTTAAATATCATTTCTTATTTAATTTCCATTAATTTCACACGACACGTGTGAAATTTTTTTTTTTTCAAAATTAGCTGAATATTTACAAAGTTTTGAACACATTTGTAATAGAATATTTGACGTGTTTGTTAAAAATAATAAAAATAAAGCAAAATGTTGCTTTTTTTTTACAATAAGCAATGAATCAAATTAAGTCTTAAAACGTAAACTAAGTTCGTGTCAGTGGTGAAACTGTAAGCATTTAGTGTTAAAGATGAAAAAAATCCCGATGCAAGCACATTCAAAAAGCTATGCAAAAAACAGACACGATTTAAAAATTCACTTATATTAAATGAAACATCTTCATATCAACAGATATTAAATGAAATAAATCAAATGTTTGTTTTTCTGTTTACCTTAATGTCAGTCTTACGCATTAAGAGACTTCATCGCTGCAAACCAGCTGATGGAATCTCTTTGACTGATTTCTCAGATGTTTTTTTTCTATCTGTGGAAGAAGACAAAATATAACTGACAAGTTCCTGCGGCTTATCGTAAGCAGGAAAAGAAATAAAATCATACAACACAGCTTTCCATCGATACAAGTGTAATAGTGAGTGCACACTGCCATCTGCTGGCCACAATAGGTAACTGCCAAATTAAAATAAATGTCTCAAAATAAATATGTCTCTCATTTATTTATTGGGAACTAAAAACAACAATAAATTATTAGTCCACTGAATGCTCTTGGACCCTCAAGCCGACTTCCACATATCAGAGTCATCTTTTAGGTGTTCTGACAGAAACATGAAACATGACAGAGAAGGGATTATGTTGCATCTTTACTTACACATCAGAAGGATGTGTAAGTAATGTGTAACTAACTTAATGTGTAACTAACGTAGTTTTGAAATCAGTTTTCTTTCCTTGTTCCTTAGTTTTTGAGTTCAGCTCAACAACCTGAGCCGGAGAGGAACGTGTGGGAGATGCAGCAGTTTATCATCTTCTTCATAATAAGGGTCATTTTTGATAAAATCACAACAATGGAGCCATCACTCTATTGATGACACTCCATTGATGAATGGAGTGTCATCAACACTCCATTACATTTTTATTTGTTTATAGTCTGCTTGCATTGATCATTCATTATTATGGAAAAATCTAGTAATTTTTTTTCAGGGCATTGGATTTCCCTAGAAATTCCGCCTAATGTTCAAGAAGGCATTTTTTTTATTTTTTATTTCCTGTTCCATTAATTTCACAATAAAGTGTTTTACTAACTGACGGGCAATTCCTAGCTGTAGCTTCTCCTACAGATGTCCTGTAGCCTATCAGAAAAACTATGGAGAGAAAACACTATCAAGCACAAGTATTTTAAGACTATTTTTTTCTATAATAAACTTCTTCCAAAAATATTGTCATAAAATACGTCTATACCATGTCATAATATTAGTCTGGACTGGATAAGGCATATGTTTGTTTTTAGCTAGGGGAAACGGCTATTCAGGTCAAGTCAGCTAAATGTCCCATTATGCTTCATCTTCGTTCCTAAAATATTCTGCGTAAACCGATTAAAGGTCAAGGCTGGACTTACTCATCAGTCTATCTTATTTTGCATATCTCCAATATATAATCCCACTATTAGACGTATCATTGCAGGCACATGTGGAACATAAAGCAAACCTTTTTATGTTTTCTTAAAAACAAAAATGACATCTGTGCATTGCCTTTCCTCCATTAGAACTGTGCATGCTCTGGCTTATTTTCTTGTACCATCATGCAGCAGGGTCATTCAAAGTGCTTTATATAAAGCAAATATTTTTTAAATATGTCTTCACTGTTAAGATGTAACCTCATCTCCTCTCTGATAAACTGTGCGCAGACATTACCAGAGCCACCAAATCATGGCATGTTCATGCAGATACTAACTTTCTTCTAAGACACACCTCTAAACTGGCTTGCACATAACAGTCATTCAGGATTTGCCATTTTGTTCTAAGTTTGACCTCGGCCATGGATAATGTCATTTCCAGAATCAGAACTACCTCTGTCTGTAAAGTGGACATTGATTTTGCTCTCTTGACTCTGTGTTTAGAGAGTTAACATCAGCTTTAATGGCAGTAGATTCACTTGGGAGACCAACACAACTACCAGCTACCAGATCATGACTGGGCTGGTAAATGAAGATAGCTGGAAACACAGAGCACATCTTTATAATGGAAGAAATGTCTCCTTCAACTGCTTTGTCTGGGAAAGAGACAAGATCAAGCAGAAACAGAAGGATGAACTGACCTTGAGATTATTGGTAGCTGACAGGAATAATTATCAGAAGCTGCAGACTGGTAGATTCCGTAGCTAAATAGCTAAATGTTCCAATATAATGACCTCGTTAGTATTTAAAACAAAGTCTTACAAGTGTTCAGACAAATTATCTAGTAATCCAGGGTAGTTAACTGGATAATGACACATTGAATTGACCAAAGTTTAATCAATAAGTCTGATTGAAAGATAGTTGCTTCTCCTTCATGGACCAAATTTTGAAGAATGTGGCATTTTAGAAGATAATGAGTTGACTTATTGATCTCAATATAATGCTCCTGCTGTTTCCAGATTGATTTCTAAGGGACAGGATAAACCAATGGAATTATTAAAAATCGCATCTTTAATCAACAAAGTGTTTGAGGCTCAATAAACCATATTTTATTTTATTTTTTCAGTTGTATTCTTACTCTTTTTACACATTTAGAGGGAAAGACTTTTAGCATTATATAATATATAGAAACACAGAAAAATATACATTTGAGAAATCCTTATCTCCAGTTATAAAAGAGAAACATAATTACATAACTTATATCCAAATGGAAAAAAATGACAGATGATGTTAATTAATTAACAATGATTTCACAAGTACCAGAAAATATAAACAGTTTAGGCTGAATAAACATGCATTAGCTCATTGTTTTTCTACAATCTCCACTGCAGCTAGAGAATAAAGAAAAACTCTGGAAAGAGCGTGTACTCAAACTGTTCTCCAGACAATCTTGGTTTATGTAGAGGACAGCATCAACTTTCTCTAAGCAACAGAATCCCAGAATCCAAGCAGAGTAAGACATCCAACTCAGTTCATCCCATCTTTCTACAGTCCCACCACATTTTGAGTGATGAATAGGCATACACTTTAAGCAGTCAGTACCTTTGAATTTTAAAGAAAAAAAAAAAAAAAAAAAAAAAAAAATATATATATATATATATATATATATATATATATATATATATATATATATATATATATATATATATAGTCTAGTTTACAACAACTAGACAATAGTTTTCTAGTTGTTGACAACTATTGGACAAGTGGACAACATGGACAAGTAGTCCATGTTTGTTTTTTTAAACACAGATTTAAAGCTTTTGATTTTACAACAGCAGAAGTAGGCCACACAGTTCAATCTGGTCCTCATTTTAAGTACAAACCTAAACCTGAAACACTTCTCAAGAAATGATTTTACATATTCCACCCAAAACAGAGATGCATCATAAAGCTAAACCATATTTAGTAACAGTTGTAACAAGGTTCTCAGCATGCCTTTTATTCCAGTGAACATCTTGTAATGTAGGGTCAAATTCACACATATTTAAAATTCTTAAATGATACAAGAATCTGCATGTAAATTCACATTATTTTAATAATCTTAGTGTAAGTAGTGTGAATAACAAAGTAATCCTAGAGCAAAAATGTAATCAATAGCAGGTCGTCATTGTGGTCTATAGACTCTGGTACAAAGAGGAGCACGGTGACTGAAAAGGCCTAAAACATTGGCACCAAGATACTGAATGTACTTTTGTCAGTTAAATCCACAGATGTATGAGTTCACGTGTGGGGTTAGTTGATGGTGGTGACATTCAGAGTTGCATTGAACTTGCTTGATTTCCTGAACTGGAGCCATTTAAAAAATATAGATGGTCAACTAAGATTATTTTGGTCCTGAATTATATTTCACTATACCCTTGACTCGTTGTTGCACCAGTTTTGTCCAAAAGTCCTGAACTGAATTCTCTTTTGAAAGTTCCAGAGTAATGCTCAGCATTTTTTTGTTAAAGTTAAGATGCATTCACACCAGCTCTGTTTAGTTTGCTTTTATAGAGTTCTGATGTCCTATTCGTTTGGAGACATGTGAATGTGTGATTGGAACAAAAAAAGCAAACTCTGGTCCATCTATGCTCTGGTCCTCGGTCTCTGTTCAGATTAAGTGAGCTCTGATGCAGTTTGAATGCATATGCGAATGGCAAATGGAATGAAGACTTCTCCAAAAGGAGGAAGCGGACTATAGGGCTGGGCATTCTTGATAAACTCAACCAAAACAAATACTTGTGCATAGTGCTAGGGGGAGGAAAAGCTTGTGGTCTTTTATCAAAGACAAAAGAGAAATACTACAACTACTAAAATCTAATCAATTTTTGTTTACATTTTGTAAAAAAGGGTCTTGCTTCAGTGGTTCTTGGTGCAGCGCCACCCCAGGCGAGGAGGGGAACAGTGTTTTCAAAGGGTTTGGTTCATTTGACAGTGCAGTGTGAAAGTGAAACCCAGCAGCTGAAAATATAATAAATGTGGCAATTTTGGTCCCCAGTCAAACCGAGTCTACCGGACCTCAACGTGTTGAAACACACGTATGGCTCCCAACGTAGTTCAGTGGAGAACAAGAAAAGAAAAAGTCAGATTTTCCCAGATCTGACAAGAACCAACTGGCCGAAAGGGTATAAATTGACCAATTGGCTGAAGTCCTGTCAACTTACAATCTTGGAATCCAATAAACCAAATGAAATGTCAAAAAATGAGGGGCGATGAAAATGGTTAAAACAATCACAGAGGAACTCCTCCGGCACATGCAGACTCTTGAAACAGTGTGACGTCATCAACCAGTCACCAACTTATCCTGAGAGCTCAGATATTTTATAGTTTCTGATCGTACCTAAAAAGATGACATTAAGAAAATGTGTGTTTTATCAACATAGGAATATTTGATTAGTTTGTAAGATTGAAAATTAATAACCTGTAATAATTATATAACTCTTGATAGCGATGCATTATTTAAAACCAATTATGACTTAGGTGAAAGAAAAATGAGACAAACAAACCTTTTTGTCCAGGAGTGTTCCAAACACCCAAATGAAGCAACCCTGGAAGAGGAGCATATGGTCAACAAAAGGGCGATTTTACTTTTTTTTTTTTAATAAACACTTGCACTATATTGTAAAGTACAGAGTAGTAAAACAATTTTAGTGAATTAAAACAATATTGTTACCTGCAGTGAATTGAAGAATACAAAAGCAAAATTAACCTCCTTGTTTTTGGGGGCAATTATGGTTCCGATTCCCAAACTCCAAGTCAGTCCGAAAAACGGTGTGAGCACAGCCAGACTCCTGGCAATCACCACCAAAACATGCTGCTCTTTGCCTTGGCCTGTATTCCTTACTCCTCTTCTGCTCACCATTTTATAAATCACTACTAGCAGGATGAGGAAGTTTATTGCCACGATCATAAGTGCAGGAGCCAGAAAAGCCAACAGAGCTTTGGAGTCCTCCCAGTTCAGCCAACAGCCATGGTTTTCTCTGATGTATTTATGTGACGGGACAGTCACTGCCATGGTTGTTACGGCGATGACCAGCGGCGCAGCGTACCCCAGAACAAATCCAATAACCAGCATGGATGTCTTGGACAATCCGCCCTCGAAGACGAAGACGGTGCGGTAGAGCAGCAGCAGGGCTGAGGCCAACATCCAGAAGAACATGGCGAGGTAGAAGAGGTGGATGAAGAAGGTCACGGCTGCACACAGCGCAGGGTTTTTCTTCTTACTGTCGTCTGTAATGTACGCTCCGATGATGAACCAAATGTTTGCGATCAGGAGAGAAACGGCGATGTTGATGATGGAAACGTGACGCAGGAAGGCGGTGGTGTTGGTACTTATTTTTTTCCAAGTGAGAGCTTCAGTGATAAGACATATGACCAAAGAAGCCATAGATATGCCAACTCCAATTATTGTTATGTCATTGATGTTTTCATCCTCAATAATCTCAGGGGACATCAGCATGGAGAAGGAGGTGGTGTGGTTACAGCTGCAGCTGATGGTTTCATTGTTGTGGGACAGCAGAGAGCAGCCCCAGTCGCTCCATCCTCCAAGACCGTCAAAGAGTGTGAAATTCCAGAAAACACACTTTGGGTTTTCCAGGGTGTCATTCAGAATTTCTGATGTTATTGATATATTTCTGATATTGGCTGCTGTCTTAGCGAGAACAACCTTTCCGTTGATAACCATGGATGATGAGTTGTCTTCATCTCTTGGAGGGAGCACGTTATCCATGGAGGCGAATACGATTGTGGTAATGTATTGACTTTCTCTGGCCTCTGGTATATCTATTTCCATCGAGGTGTTAAAGACATTGTTGAAGGTTAATTTGGTTTTTAACTGAGTTCTATTCAGATGAATAAAAGGTGTCTCAACAGAGAAGGATTCATTGACAACGAGGGCGGCAACTGATTCAAATAAGTTCAGCAGGGAAGCGCTGGAGCTGTTTTTCCCCCCAGCATTCTCTGTGCCTGAGCTCGTTGTTTTATCGTTTGTGTTTAGGGTATCCCATGTTGCCTTTGTTTCATCAGAGGTGAGAAGACCTGCGATCTTCAGGATGTTCTGTAATAAGAAATATATTATGTGTTAGATTATGTCTTCAAAAAAGGAAATGTTACATAATATTTTATTTTTCCTACCTCTGTTGATTGTTTATTTATTGGCATGGATAACAATATAGATCTGTTTGCCATGTTGCTGAGGGCTTTCACAATAGAACTGATTGTATCTGGAGATTTGGAAATGTTCTTGGTGTTGTTACCGGATACAACCATGAGTCTCTCCAAGAATCCCGGAAGCGTCTCATTATTCAGTTTCTGTCAGAATTGAAGAAAGATTTATCAACATTATTTCCTCTCATAGTTTAAAATAAAGTTATCTTTAAATTTTCATGTCATTGTATTCTTATAATCAACTGAATGGATTCTGGTTAGATAGTGTTAAATGCGTCTTTAAAGTTTCTAAAGTTAAAGGGGTTTTATCACTGTGTGCTCCTGTCTTCTAGTGTAGGAGCTGGTAATGAACCATCTTATGTAAAATATTGTTGGAACAAATACATACTTGGTGATACTTTCATTTATACATTGTACTGGAAAGTTGAAGTTTATTTTATTATTTGCCATGTTCTCAGGCGATCTCGTATGCACATTTTTGTGGGATTCCAGTTTTACTACTTGAACCAAATCATTTCAAGACACCATAATTAACTGAACATAGTCAAGAGTTTTGTTTAGGATTTGATGAATAAAACATTAGAGGGATTTTACTGGAGAATATCTACATCTATAACACACTTTTACTATAATAAATAAAAATAATCTCACTTGGTCAAATCACTTATTCATGTAAAACAAAATGGGGAGACCTTTTTAACATAGTATCTACCACCAATCACCTCTATAGTTTATATTAAACAGATACATCTTTGTCATTGATTGGACTCTTACATGTTGTTGCTCTCGACTATTAGGCCAGGTTTGAAGTTATTCCCAGAAATATACATTTGTATTTATGCATAGAATTCCTACTAGACAATGTCTATTGTTAATGTCCATAACTTTTAGTGTCAAACTATTCAATTTTTTTCTTTTTTACTTTCTAGCTGTTCAGTAATACTTATTTAGTTAGTAGAATAGAAAATCTTCCCCCAATGGAAACCTTCTAAATGGACACAACATTTTAGACTATATGTAACAAAACAGAGTTGTGGGCAGATTTTAATTCTGTTTTGTATAGTCAGAAATGTCCAAAGTGCTACATACCTCAGATTCACCAACCAGCTCCATCACAGCTGGAGGGACGCAGTCGCTTTGGTTACCTCCAGAAATATCATTTTCATTACAGGTCACTGGACCTTTTCTGGTGGTCACCACTATGAAACATACAGATCCTTAATAATCTTTGACCATGGAGAAAATAATATTGTTTGGGGAATCTGAAACTTGACATATGAATTCTCAATCTCCAGACAAAAGCATCTTTCTGTGTTCTGTTTTCAGAAAGTAGTTTGTCTGCGCAGAGAGCGCATGAGAATCTGTAACTCTGAAAATGCTGACAAGTCATTTTTAAAACTGGAAACTTCATTTAGTTCAACCTTTTGCTTTGATATACAAAGTAGCCATAAACATTGGAGTTTCACAGCTAACACATTATTACAGAATGTGTAGAAATTATTTAAGAGATTGTCAACTAACCTGAGGAAACACTGGTGGTTATCTGTGTAGTTTCAGATTCTGTTGTTTTGTATGTAGAGGGTCTTACTGTGGGGATGAAATGTCACAGATAACATATTAGAGATGTGTAGAGCTAGATCAAGAAATTTTCAACTCACCTGTGGTTGTCATGACAGCAGACTGGTGGTAATTTGTTGTACTCTGTGTAGGATTGGATTCTTTCGTGTTGTTTGTAGTCTTGCTTTCTGTGGGAATGAAATGTCACAGATAACATATTACAGATGTGTAGAGGGAGATCAAAAAATTGTCAACTTACCTGTGGTTGTCATGGCAGCAGACTGGCTGTAATCTGTTGTACTCTGTGTTGGATTAGATTCTGTCATGTTGTTTGTAGTCTTGCTTTCTGTGGGAATGAAATGTCACAGATAACATATTAGAGATGTGTAGAGCTAGATCAAGAAATTTTCAACTTACCTGTGGTTGTCATGGCAGCAGACTGGCTGTAATCTGTTGTACTCTGTGTTGGATTAGATTCTGTCATGTTGTTTGTAGTCTTGCTTTCTGTGGGAATGAAATGTCACAGATAACATATTACAGATGTGTAGAGGGAGATCAAAAAATTGTCAACTTACCTGTGATCATCTTGACAGCAGACTGGATGTAATCTGTTGTACTCTGTGTAGGATTAGATTCTGTCATGGGGTTTGCAGTACCTGGTCCTGTAGGAGTAAAAAACTGTTGT